AGAAATTCAGAGTGCTACTGGAATAGATTATGTTCCCGCAGTGACAAGAAGACTGTCCCCATGAAAATACATCTCACATTCGGCTTAGATGTTAGGCCTCGAGAAAAAAAGCACGCCTGAACGTAAAGACAAATCCCCTTGTACAAGGGGAGAGGGATATTCAAAGGATGCCTCGAGTGGAATCGAGGCACAGGTTGCCATCGAAGGCATGGAATTACCACATCTTAAAAGGGTTCATCCACTCCGGATCTCCTAAGGGCAGATTCCTCATCTCCGTTACGGTAATCTAGGTTTTCAAAAGAGTCCTACAGATGTCCTCAAAGGGACTTGCGCCAGAAGTTAATTCAGGGAGAGAGCAACTCATTTAGTCCATCTGAATGTTCAGGAGTCCTGACAAGAATTGCTCTCGTTGTTTCTTCGTGGAGACCTCGACAAGCTGGAGACCCTTTATTTCAACACTTTGAAGGCGCAATCCGCGCTACCAGAGTGCGTTAACAGGCTACTAGCATTGGCCATGATTCTACATTAGAAACGAAGAAACCTATTTTTGAACTCTGCGAAGGTCTCTTCATCCCTATGCCACTTTTTAGATCAATAATCAGCAATTTCATCTGTTTTGTTTTCATTTCCGCACGCAATAAGTGTACTCCATGTCCGAAAACGTGCTCTACTAACTTCAGAGCATGACATAGATGTCAAGTAAACCATATGAAACAGCGCACAGAGAAAAATATTTGACATACCATGTGTGTCACGCGGTCCGAAACGTGTTGAAAAGGTGACAGTTACACTCTGTGTACATGACTTGAACAAGTTCATGCGGATGAGAGCTTTTTCGAAGGAGACACAAGGAATTATGAAGTTGTACATATGTTTTTGTATGTAATATAATACGTTTATGTGTGATCTTTTTAACGATTATTTCAGGTTGATACCCAATAAATGGGCATTTGCTTATGTCGCTTTGGGCCCAGCAGCCTATTTTGGTCCTACGGCATGCTACTTGGGCTACTGTGTAGTGTTACATGCGCTATTCTACACGTTTCTATCATTCCCACTATCATTCGGATTTCGCTATCATGTATTGGTTCGACCAATGCCGACAATCAGAAGATGCATCTTTATCTGTTTTGGTCTTTGGCTCATTGCATTTGCTCAACATGTGAGTTCAACCTTCATTAGAGGAACTTCTTGCTGATGTTGATGAAAGGTGTCTGTACTGTAGATCTCTACAGCTGGGCGCCATAGCCTCTATTTTGGAATTAGGACGGTAGGGTCTCTGATCTGAGGCAATAGGAGAAAGTTCGTGCTCAAAGGCAGTTGGCACGATAATTTGGTACTCGGCCTAAAATGCTAGCAGTGCGCTATATAGTGGTAAATGGCAAAAAATGGAGTGAAACAGGTCAAAAACCTGCAAAGAAAAGCCTTCGTTCTTAGTGACTCAAAAATCAATTCGGACGAGTTTCCCGTAGGCATCTTGCCAATAACCGCTACGGTAGGTACGGCTGCACGTATGTACTCATATATCCATGCAGCACGCGACCGCTTCATATCAATCCCTTCGCTTCATATTTTACTTAGCAAATGAAGCAATACGAGCATCAGGTACGGTCGTCCATTTGTGGGCGGGCGGGCGCGGTGGGCGTCCGGGTCGGTATGTTGCAGCTTGATAGGGCCTTATAAGGGTACCTTTTTGGAAAAGGCGCTACGCAGCGCCTGCTCAGGGGCGCGGAATTCCGTCCTGTCAGGCGCATTAATCCTATTCGTGCAAGGGATTTATCGTGCCACAGAGAAGCAAGGGAACGTCCTACGTACAGCGAGAGGGTCGCATTTGGTCGCTGGAGCGAGGTAGTAGACATTGCTTTTGGGACAAATGTTTGTACCTTGGTTCTTCCCATTTAATGCATATAATAATCCCCGTACCCCCCCCCCTTGTTCCCACCACACAAGAAAAGGGAAG